GTGTGCTGAGATGACCCAGGAAGGCACTCGGAATGACAGCTGGTTTTCCAGAGGTCCACCGGGTGGCTTCGGGGCGGAGGGAGCACTGAAGATGAAGAAAGGGGGTATCGGGTATTTTTTATGGACGGCAGGTGGTATCGGGTATTTTTTATGGACAGAGTCATGAAGGAGCCTGCCTAGGTCAGGTCCCCACTGGCAAAAATGGGGGATTGGAGGCCAGCGCGGAGAGTGTCTGGCCCAGCTGGGGGGAAGGTCCTGTAATGTGGGCCAGGAATCCCAGCGCCCTGGGAGCAGAGTAGGGGCTGTGACCAGGCGCCCTCGGTACCTGGGCTCTCTGCTTCTGTGCACCTTAGTTTTCTCGTCTGTAGAATGGGTCCATCCATTCTCTGCCTAAGTCTCAAGGCTTTGTCAGCTACATCCTGCTCTACAGAGTGCCAGGCCCTAATCCTGGAGGAGGGCCCTGATCTACACAGTCACCTTTGTCAGGAAGGAAATAACTTTGCCCTCAGACTGCACACCTTGGCTGGCTCCTGGGCATGACTGAGTCCTGCATGACCCAAAAGGGGTTGACAGGAGGCAACCGTCCATCTTTGTGTCTGTCACACTTGCCTGAAAACCTGTCACAAGTCAATGCAGTCAGATGGCAGGTCCTGGGCGAGTCTAGCCCCGGGGCCGACAAACTGCGGCTCTCGAGCCACATGTGGCTCTTTGGCCCCTTGAGTGTGGCTCTTCCACAAAATACCACGGCCTAGGAGAGTCTACTTTGAAGAAGCGGTGTTAGAAGAAGTTTAAAAAAATTGGCTCTGAAAAGAAATTTCAATGTTGATATTTGGGTCTGTTGACTAATGAGTTTGCCGACCACTGGGCTAGCCAGTCCTAATTAAGGTTCCTGCAGCTCAGCCCACACACCTGTCTTATTGCCTTTCAAATGCTGGAGAAGTCAAAACCTGGAAGAACTCCCCAATTAGGACAGAGGTTTCCCTCTCTCCTGCCCTCTGGTTGCCCTCCTCGTCCCTGCCCCCCAGGGTATCTGGGTGGAATACTCAGACAGGCTGCATCTGGGAAGGGACAATAGGTCTCACAAGGCAGGAGGAGAAAAGGCAAGACAAAGGAGTACCTTCCTTCCTGCCCAGGCCTGGGCTGGTCCCAGACACTCTCACTTTGAACCGCTATTGGAGGCCCATCAGCTCTGACCATAGCAGCCCCAGAATGGAATCCACTTCATGCCCTGGCCAGGCCATCCTTACTCAGCCACTCGGTCCTTCTCCAGGGCATGCCCTCTGAGCCCCAGTGTCAGTGGGGGCCAGGACCATCCGTGACACCAGGCACACAGCGGCCTTAGGATGCCAGTGTTTGTCTTGTGGAGTGAAATATCTCAGGTCCTGGTGGGAGGGATCTATTTGGAGAGTGAGTTCACATCCAAGCCAAGCTTTGTCCAGCCTCGGGAGGTACCCAGGACTCTCTGGATAGAGATGCCAGGGAGATGCCTGCTCTACAGAGTTCATGGGGTCACAAGGTCATGGTTCAGGGAAAGCCATCTTCCGGGATACTTGACCTCTGGGCTGCAAGTGTAAGTTCTGAATCTTGAACCGGTCGGGCTGGGGCACCGGGTGCACCCAGAACCTGGGTCAAATCCCCCAACCCTGCCCACCAACTAGTCTAGCCTCTCCTTCAGTGCACAGTTAGGTGAGAGTTAAAATTCTGTCAGAGGGATGAAGCCTCGTGCTGCCTCCTCTTGGTTAAAGATTTCAGATGGTCAATTCCAGAAGAGATCGTGACGGTGCTGCCCTGCACCCACCACCAGGGGGCGCAGGTGGGCAAGTGCTGCTGTCTATCTCTGCAGGGTTTCCAGAAAGTGAGGGGCTTGCTGCTTTCCCTTTTACATCGCTTTCCTTGGAAGCTGCAGGAAAAGACTAGAACTAAGCAGCAGTAGCAGCAACAGCATGTATAGGCCGGCGCTCTGGGACAGCGGCCTCTGAAGACAGCGGCCAGTGGGGTGCCCTGCTATTGAGCAGCGTCCCCTAGGGCCCCTCACGCCTCTCTCTCAACACTCAGAAGCCCTGTCCACTTGCTACGCACCCCCACTTTCTGCATCACAAAATAGGTATGATAATAGGACCCATCTTATAGGCTGTAGAATTAATGACTTAACACACAAAATGCTCTACGCATTTGCCATGGGCACAGTTCTCCTGGCCACCACTATTTCATTCTTCCTGCAAGGCCCCCACATCACCTGGGCCCACGGTGCAACATGTTCTTTTCCTTTTTTGTAAAAATTGTTGACACTGTCACAGGTGTCTATCACCCTACTTCCCCCCCGTATTCCCTCCTCCACTCAGCACCGCCCACTGTGCAACATTTTCACATCTCTCGGATCCGCCTGCTGTTTAGGAGGCGTGGTGCTCTGGACCCTGGGGTGGGGCAGCCGCTGAGCATCACTTTTCAAAGTGATGTCGTTAACTCTGAGGGCACTGCGTGTAGATGAATTCGGAGGCGCTGGATGTCCAGGACCTGTCTCCCCCCGGGGAATGGCAGCTCCGAGAGGCCAGGCGTTTGCTTCCATCTCTGCGGTGCTCCCAGTGTTTAGAACAGTGCCTGGCCCATGGTTGGCGTTCAGTAAACATTCATGGGTGACAGTGGGGAATATGCTTGTGACATAGTTTTAAAAAACTTGTTTTAGCCGGGACCGGTTTGGCTCAGTGGATAGAGCGTCGGCTTGGGGACTGAAGGGTCCCGGGTTCGATTCTGGTCAAGGGCAAGTACCTTGGTTGCGGGCATATCCCCAGTAGGGGGTGTGCAAGAGGCAGCTGATCGATGACTCTCATCGATGTTTCTAACTCTCTATCTCTCGCCCTTCCTTTCTGTATAAAATCAATAAAATATATATTTTTTAAAAAGAATTTAAAAAACTTGTTTTAAAAAAAGAGTGTGGTACTATAGGATGCCAATTTTGTAAAAAAAAAAAAAGCGCCGGCCTATACATGCTGTTGCTGCTACTGCTGCTTAGTTCTAGTCTTTTCCTGCAGCTTCCAAGGAAAGCGATGTAAAAGGGAAAGCATCAGCCACACACCCCTTCTCCATCCCTGAAGGTGATTCTCTGGGGGGCTCCAATGAGCAGGAAGTCCCGGAGAACAACTTTCAGGCGATATTTCCTTATATAGCTCTCTCCATATGTATCTAGAGAGAGAGAACACTGCAGTGAAATATATGAAATATATGAAAATTCTTACTGATAAACTGAAGGTCATGCGATGATAAATAACGTTTGTTATTTCCCACGTGATGCACAATGAAAATGCATATTGGATTTGGGGGAGAAGGTTAACTTTGGGAATAAGATGGAGCACGACCATGGGTGTTTGGGCCCTTGGGAAGGGACACACCCAGGTGTCACTGGTGTTGCTCCATCAGGTGTGTCCAGGCTGAAGTGGCCGAGGGCTGCCTGGGACCTGCCCTGCCCGTGCCCCTGCCCTTGGAGGACTATGTTGCCCTCCCTTGTTTACTGGTATTTGAGCAGGTGTGGGGACAACAGGGACAGAGGAGGAGATTGGGTCAGGCCTGGGTCTATAGGGAGCCACCACCGGGTACCACCGGCCATTTCTATCACAAATATCACAAAAGTGACATTTGTGATAGAAAATGTCACTGAGTGAGCCACTTGCATCAGCCACACACCCCTTCTCCATCCCTGAAGGTGATTCTCTGGGGGGCTCCAATGAGCAGGAAGTCCCGGAGAACAACTTTCAGGCAGCCTGGACAATTTGGCTTCACACCTCCCTAAATTTCAGTGGCCATCTGGCTGGCCGACATGGCCAAGCAGGAGGCGTAGGTTCCGCCCTCGCCCTCTGCCTGGGCCACTCTGCTGGCCGAGCCTCCGGCTGAGACAGGGCAGAATCAGCTCGATGGCCACCGGGAGCCTGCAGGTGGCATGGACGAGGCTCAATGAACAGTGAGACCTGCTTCTGATTGGGGAGGGTTTATATGCGAAGTAGCAACAATTAACTGCCAAACCAGCCACGCTGTGCAAGCATGAGCTGCACGTGGCTCAGAATGAGGCCAGCCACGCACAGCGGCAAGGGATGGATGATGGACCAACTGAAAAGGCTGGCCCATGGCACGGTGCCGGGGGCGGAGGAACCAGAGAAAGGCCTCGGCCAATGCTGCTCGGTGGTGAGGGCTCACAGAGCCCTGCTTAGCGCCCACCCCTCCTTCCTGCCCGAGTCTCCTCCTCCCACCCCAGCCAGGGGGCAAACAATGTGATGAGCACTCAACACAGTGGCCCTTTCTGTCATCTGCTCATTTGACAGCGCACCCCTCTCTGCTGCCCAGGAAAGCTCATTTCTGGGGCAGGTCTCAGCTCCCTGATTCAGGCTGTCTCCGAGCACCCAGGTAACCTGGGGCTGACTTTGCGGGCCATCCCAAATAGAGGGCCCACTTCAGGTCTGAGGGTCTGACTTTGTTTGTGAGGTTTCCGAGGATCTGAAGGGGTGTGTGCCCGTGGCCTGAGAAGCCCAGGCTTCATGCCATCTCCCTGGGCCCAGCCTCAGGCAAGCTCCAAGGGCCCATTTCCCCCATTTCCATTTCATGGGACAAGATGCACAGAAGGAAGGAAGGGGGGTCCGCTGAGGGCAGTGGAAGAGGGAGAGCATCTTTGTTCATTCTTTATTGCGTCTTTCTAAAAGATGGCGTCATGGCTCACCCAGTGGGTCAGGGATTCACACGCGGGTCACTGGTGCCCTTCAAACAGGTCCCTGTGGCGGTTTTCAGGGCGGCTTGGCTGCGTCCCTCTGCATCTCCTGGCCGACCCCAGGAGACAGAAGTGGAGACCCTCGGTTACCGGCCAGAAAGGAGGAGTGGGTGCTGAGGGGAATCGAGGAAGCTGGGGGGAGGTCAGGCAGGCAAATGGCCCCCTCTGTTCTACTTCCTGTTGCCCCAGCTGCCCTCCCTCCCCTTCACCTCTGTCACCATGTGCAAATTACCTTCTCCAGGGCCTGGCGCTACACGTTCTCCCTCACCTTCTTCCTGGTGGAGTATGGAATGCAGCACACCCAGCTGGTCCTGGTCCTGGCAGCCAAGAGGAGGGGAGGGGCTGAGAGGCAGGCAGGCCCTGGGCCACGGGTGCCTGGAGTGTGGATCCCAGGCCCCAGGCAACACCCCTTCAATCCCACATGCACGCCTCAGGGTCTCCGCTCTGACCTCTGCTGCACCCCACTACTCATGTCCCGGGGAGCCAAGGTCTTATCTCCGTGGCTTCTGAGCCCCGTGCACCAAAGCGGATTCCAATGCAGAGCCAGGCCTTCCTTTCCTCCATATGCCTGAGGGTTACCCATGTCTGCTGTCCTCTGTCCTGGAAGGCCCGGGCCAGAAGGGACCCATGGACATGAGAGATCCTTCGAGACTAGCTGAGTCAGGTGCCACAGGGTGCCAGGTGCGGAGCCAGCCCAGCACGCTTCCAGAGCACCTCAGCCTGTGCTTGCCTCCCTGTGGGGTGGTCGCTGGGCTTTTCCACTTCCAGCCGAGGCTGCCTCAGTATGAGATGGCAGCCCCCCTCCTTGGCAGGGACCACCATGGTTTGGTGCCCATATGCCCCGCTGGTTGCTATGGGCTACTAGCCTATGGGTGCCTGGCCTCGCCCTCTGAGTGGGCCCGGGGGCAAGCTGGGCAGAAAAGCCTTTTCTCTGAGGGAAACTGAGCTGGCAGGTGAGGAGGGCAGCAGAACAAACAGGTGACTCCCCAAGAAAATGTCCAAACCTAGCCCTCCACTGCGGACCCCATTCCCGCTGGCCTGGAGGCCTCCAGTGGCCACCGCTTGCTTTTTGAGTGCCGGTCTGTCTCACAGGTTTCCTGGGGCAGCTGGGTCCTAGGAGGGTGGACCTGGGATTGTCCGACCGTTGGGGCAGAAAATAAAGCTGCCAGGCTGCACTGAATGTGGCTGAACCCAGCACTGTGTCCATGAAGTAGCGGAGAGAAGAACAAAAGCCTGCTTAGGTAAAGACTGCTTATTTCAGGCCTAGATTTGAGAGCGTGAAAAGACCATCCCAAAATCTCTCAGGTCGCCCTAACCGGTTTGGCTTAGTGGGTAGAGTGTCAGCCTGCAGACTCAAGGGTCCCAAGTTCGATTCTGGTCAAGGGCATGTACCTTGGTTGCGGGCACATACCCAGTAGGGAGTGTGCAGGAGGCAGCTGACCAATGTTTCTAACTCTCTATCCCTCTCCCCTCCTCTCTGTAAAAAAAAAAAAAAAAAAAAAAAAGTATTTTTTTAAAAAACTCAAAATCTTTCACGTCATAAAAACCAACGTGACCAGCTGTGTAAGTTGAGATCAGAAGAGAGGTGGATCTTCTGAGTGAAGATGGAACAAAAATTCTCTCCTGGGCTGAAACCGGTTTGGCTCAGTGGATAAAGCCAGTTTGTGGACTGAAAGGTCCCAGATTTGATTCCGATCAAGGGCATGTACTTTGGTTGCGGGCACATCCCCAGTGGAGGGTTTGCAAGAGGTAGCTGATCGATGATTCTCTCTCATTGATGTTTCTAATCTTTATCCCTCTCTCTTCCTCTCTGTAAAAAAAATCAAAATACATTTTTTTTTTAAATCTCTCTCCTGGAATACACACACACATTGGGGTGGAAAGAAGCAATAATGACAACAGCCAACTAAGCGAAGGAGCCTAATGCTATAAACCTTCAGAGCTGGCGATCCTGCTGGCACTGATGGAGGAGCCTGTCTGTGCGTCCGAATCTACACCTCAAAACCATGTGCTCCTGTGTGGTCCTCACCACTCCTGAGAGGAACTTGGGTGATTTCCAGCTTTTCCTCTTTGTTGTGCTATTCCACCTTAAGTTATTTTAAATGCCTGTGTTCAGTTAAGCTACTGGAAAAAAATTTTCAGTATGCAAGCAATTAAACCAAGATAATTAATATAGATGGCCATTCGGAGTGGTAGAAGTTGAATACGTTGCTCTTTTCTTCCTTGTGTTTTTCTCTGTATTGTTTAAAATAAAATAGGTCCCTGGGCCCTTGGGTGGCCTAGAAGTAAGTACCTCGTCTTCTCCCAGCACCCTTTACGGCCCAGGAAGTGGTGGGGCTTTAATGACCCTACACAATCTTCACCCCCAATAAAGTGTGGGTGGTCAGGACACATGTGAGGGATCATAGCAGGACCAAGGTGTATGACCTTTTCAGCCCATGAGATGATACCCTACTCTCATCTTCCCTTCTTCCCTTTTTTCTCCTTCCCCTGGGGTTCTGCCCATGTTGTTGCTGGATGGGATGGGAAAAGAGAGTCTGGCTATGGAGTAAGGTGGGACTCAAAGCAAAAGCTGTGCCAGACCCCTTAGGAGGTTAGATGCCCTGTCGCCCACTCTCAGCCCCTCCAGCCTCCATAAATGCTTAGATCACTGCGTGCGTCTAGACTCTAGATTCTAGAGGAAGAGGGAAGGCACAATGGACCCACTAGAAATGAGGGTAGAGGAACAGTCTCCCCACCTCCCAGGCATGAATCCTTTACTCACTCATCTTCTGACAAATCCCCCATGTCCATTTGGGACCGCTTCTCTTCTCTCATGGCACATGTGATCACCTGCGAGAAGCAGCAAAAGCACTTTAGGGGGTGGGGTGGGGGAGGCAGCCAACCACAGGCACCAGGCTGGACATGCTGGGCCTGCCCCAGGATCAGATGGAGATGTGAAGACTGTGCTGGCCCTGAGCATGAGACTGGGGCCCATCAAGTGGGAATTTCTAATTACGGGACCCTGACCAAGGAACTGTGGCCTGGACACGGGCCACCATGACCTCTAGATTGTAGATCAGGAGATGTGGGCCCTTAGTCTCAACTCTGCCTCCTTGAGTCCTTAGAACATGTGGTGCCCCATGGTAGCCTTGTCAGGAACTAATAATCAGCTCTCTTCACTGGACAGAATGTTCTGAAGGAAGAAAGATAAAAGGTGCAATTTGGGGAGAAAAAATAACCCTCAGCCTGGAGCTTAAATTGGCCAAGACAAAAATGCCTACAAATGTGACTGCTCACTACAGCAGAACAATGGAAAAGACATCCCAGAGAGACCTTTGAGTCAAACACTTCTCTTTACAGAAAATGATGATGATAATGGTGATGACGGTGATGATGGGATGATGATGGTGATGCTGCTGCTGAACATGATGGTGATAGTGGTGATGGTATAATGATGGTGATGATGATGCTGGTGATGGTAGTGATGATGGTGATGGTGATATTGGTGATGGTGATGATGATGGTGGTGATGATGGTGATGGTGATGGTGGTGGTGGTGGTGGTGGAGTAAGGTGGGACTCAAAACAAAGGTTGTGCCAGATTCCTTAGGTGGTTAGATAATGATACCTAATACTTAGACTTTCTGAGTACTAGACACTGTTTGAGGGTTTTATAGAACAAACCTGGGGTGTGGGTATTACTAAGATACCCATTTTACATATGAGACAACTGAGATCCGGAGAGTATAGTGACTTGTTTGAGCATTTACTGGTAGAACTGGATGTAGAGGCCAGGTCTCCTAATTCCTAAGCTTGTGCCCTTTCTAAAACCCCAGCATGACCCCACAGAGGTTCTCAGGGCCCCTGGACACCCCAATAGTTGACCCAGGCCCTAGAGTGTTGGAATGCATGCAAGTTAGAGTGAGGAAGGATGCCGTTGTCCCTATCTTTGCCTCAGCCTCCAACACCCATGTGCACGGGGCAAGTTCCCCAGAAAAGCTTTGTGGGCCTGAGCACAGGCATTTCCTGGTGAGTGGATTGGCTTTGCTGTGTGGAGGGTTTTTACCTCTTCAGTATGGTCTCCCAGGTCAATCTCCACAAACATAGATGGTTTCTGTGAACAAAAACCAGAGACGTGGATGAAAGACTTGCGTGAGCAAGGGAGGTGAGTAGACTTCCTGGGTGGTAGAGTGGACTCCTGACCTCAGGGTCTGGGCAGTTACCACCGGGACCACCAGAACTGGCAGTGCTCAGTGGGGGCTCCTGAGAAGATGGGGAGAGAGCTGCTGGCAGTGTGGATGGCAAGGTGTCCGTCTCTGGCAGAGGAGGGAGAGGGAGGGAAATGGCCTTCCCACATCTCCCTGCTCACCTGCCATTGGGGCCCTGAGATCCAGAGGGCTTCTCCCACCTTCACCCTCTGAGAACCAGGGCCTCCAGGAGACAAGTGATGTCCAGGTCCAGAGCAGCCCCTCCAAGCCCACTTCAGACCTGCTCACCTAGGAAGCACCTTTCATTCTGCCTCCAGAAACCTACCTGGGGCCCCACGTTACTAGGTCGTAAAGGCTCGCACTGAGGTGTGAGAAGCCCAGGCAGCTCAGGTGTTGCTGCCCCTTATTGGCACCTTGGCTGAGTCCAGAATGTGCCTACAACAGTATCACTTCAATCAACACCAAGGGAAGTATTTGTGGTGGGGGAAGGACTCCCCAGAGCCCCTGGAATCGCACCAAGGACCATCTGTTGTAAATCCTGGTAAAACACATCCAACTACCTCTCCATTCCCTGCCACGCAGATTAGGAAGGAGAATGACAGCCATCTTCCCTCAGAAAGTGCCCCATGCCAATTGCTACTGTAGCACTGCCATGTCTCTGGCCAAGGCATCAGGGCCTGGGACTCGGGGATGTTTCCCTGGGCCAAGGTCAAGATGAGTGTTATTTCTTATCAAGGACCCACATGTTTTTAGCCACTGCACTGTTTGGAATTGGGATGCCCCAGCATAAGGCCAAGAGCACAGAGCTTGGCCTGGAAGCTCTTGGGGGTCAGGGCAAGGCTTGTTCCAGCCTGTGCCATGGTCCTATCTGGATGACTTGGGACCACACGTGCCCAGTGTGCTCTTGGTCCAGCAGGATTATGCTGGATAGACCTTTCTATTGGACGTCTGTCACCAAATTAAAAAGCTCTTGCCTCTTTTTCCAGAAGGTCTTCCAGCTTTATGGACTCCAACTCCTGTTTCTGTAAGAAGACATCAGACAGGTGACTAAGGGCAGGACGCTGACCGGAGGGGACACAGCACATGGATGTTCAGGGACCACGACCTGACCTTGGCCTCCTGGGAGCGTTTGTGGTCTTCCTCGCGCTCCTCTTGGTCGCTGGCCTCTGAGTCACTCTTCTCAGCCTCTGGCTCCGGCTTTCCAAGCTCATGGTCCAACTTTTCAAGGGCGTCCTGCTCCTTCTCCTGCTGATCTTCCTCAAGGTTTGCCTGACTGTAGGAGTGGAAATAAGGTTTGGGATCAGTGTCATGGAGACAGCTTCCCGGTGACACCTTTCTCCCTCTTGGGCGTCGGCAGCTCTTGGAGCAGCTCCAGCCTGGGTACGGAGGCAGAGAGGGGCCTGAGTGTGCAGGGCCTGCCTCCTTCCTAGTGGCAGAGGGGGCAGAGGGGGGAGAGGGTGGGTGGGTAGATACATCAGAGCAGGAGGGGAGGAGCCGTGTGCAGAGGATGAGCAGTGATGCTCAGGTTGCGCCTGTCCACTCTCCTGCACACCCAGGCCTTCCCCAGCGTGAGCCTCCACAGGCCCCATCATGTGGGATGACACCACCCCTTTTGGGGGACAGGTGTAAGCTCCAGGAGTCACCACCACTCAGCTATCGTTGGAGGGTGCAGGGAAGCAGAGGGACTTTCAGCCCTGAGAACCACCCTGGATCCCCGGCCTCAGATCCTCCCATCTGAACCCCCGGGGTCCTCTCAGGATACCCAGGGCTCCTTCTGGGCCCCCAAGTCTTCACCTAGGTGCTGGCCCCACTTTCCGCCCCGTGGTGAACCACCCCTGCCGGACAAAGCCCACCTACCAGACGGTGTCTTCAGCGTTGCTTTTTAGGTCCTTTCCCTGATCTTCAGACTCTGAGGAGGAAGGAGAAGGTGGTCAGAAAGCTTCCACGAGGCCCACAGCTCAGCCCTGTGAGGACGGGTGGGGCCAGCCCACAGGGTGCCCGGCTCTCCGCAGCTGAGGCACACTGCGTGCTCCGTGTCGGCCTGATCACTAATGGTTATGACTAAAGCCAGCCTCGGTTTTTATCCTGACAGGTTGTCTCCTGCCCTGAGACTCCCACTCTGCACAAGACCTCACCCCATACCACCTCTGCCTCTCTAGGCACTGATTTTACAGGGGCAGCCCAGACACCCGCCTGGAGCCACAGAAGGGGAGGGCAGGAGAGGGGACCCACCGGGCCAACCTGTCCGATAGGGGAGGGCGATGCAGTCCCAGGAGGTGGCACTTGAGACACACACGGCTTGTCCAGGAACCTCCCGTCCTTGTTCCTCCTCAGAAGGGCGTGGCCAGGGGCCTTTAACGTGTCATTTTTCTAAGGAAAGTGCTGCCCGAGGTCCAGCGAGTTGGGATCTTTGTCCAGTGCACTCAGTAGTCTGAGAACCTGCCTGGCATCCAGGGAGCTGTTCTTCCAGCCACAGCCTCACATACCCAGCAATGGTCAGGAAATAATTAAGGTAAAGCTGCATTTTGGTGACTTTGGCAGGATCAGAGCATGAGCTGCGTGAACTATTTTCACCAGGACAGAGACCTCTCACTTCCAGGCTTGTTGGCGGGGAGAGCTTCGGAGGAGTTGTGCAGGAGGGGTTCCCTAACCCTGTTTAGGAGCTGAGGGGCCTCCGAGGGCACGCAAGGTCATGACATTGAAAGTTCTGTTTCTGTGCAGTCCCACTGAGCCGGGAAGGATGGAGATGTTCGGCTCCCTGCAGTAGTGGCTCCTCTCACAATCAGCTTGCCCCCACACCGAGGGCCCGATGCAAGCACAGCCTGGGGGGCTGAGGGGGGTTCCTCAAAGCTTTAAGTACTGCTTTTGATGGGAGACATAGCCAGGACACCTCTGAGTAGCTCCCATCTTGGAGAATCGCCTTACAGAAGCTGGTTGTCAGATCCGCTGCTCCAGGCCTTGGGTTCAGGGTTAGTCATCAGTTGTCACAGGCCTCAGGGCTGAGAGAGGAGGTGACGGCCCGGTTCCCAGTGGGTGCCCTGCACCCCGCTCCTGCCGTTCTAAGGAGTCTGACTGGCTGGTCCTCGCCTTCTCTCATGCTAATCGTCCCCTGACACCTCTCTCCGACCCCTGCCATCTTCCAAGGCCATCCTTCCCGGGACCTGGGGCCCCTGCCCAGTGCTCAGCAACCCGCTTTACAGGGAGCTTTTCATCACGGCCTGGCCTTCCTCATGCTCAGCGCAGGTGGCCTCGGGCTGTGCCATCTGGGCATTGTGTCCCACTGCTCCTGAGTTCCGTGCGGATGCCAACCAGGTGTTCCTCCTCCTCCTGGTTCTTCATGCCCGCACAGGCTTTGGGGGGGGAGGGTTCTGATCTGTGGCCATGCTGCCCCCAGGCAGACACTGGCCATGCTGGGGACAAACAGCCCGAAGGCCAAGGGCAGGGATTTGAGACACACATGGCTTGTCCTCAGAGAATATTTTAGGGCTTGGGACAGTCGTCCCACTTACACGCAGTTTCTGAGGTCACCTGCAGTCTGAAAATTTTAAATGGGAAATGCCAGAAAAAAAAAAACAATTGATACGTGTTCAGTGTGTGCCATTCTGAGTTGCATGAGGAAACCCCGCACTGCCCCGCCCCATCCTGCCCGGGATGGGAATAGTCCTTTTGTCCAGCACAGCCACCCTGTGTACGCTCTCCGCCCGTTAGTCACGGGGCAGCCACCTGGTTGTCAGATCCGCTGTGTGGTATCCTCATGCTTGTGTTTGAGTAACTCTTATCTTATTCATAATAGCCCCAAAGCACAAGACAGGTGGTCTTGGTCATTCTGCTAGGCCGGTGGTCGGCAAACTACTGCTCGTGAGCCACATGCAGCTCTTTGGCTCCCTGAGTGTGGCTTTTCCACAAAACAAGTACAGTGTGATTGGAACTTATTGGCCCATTTGCAGAAGTCGATTTTCAGCTCTCAAAAGAAATTTCAATCGTCATACTGTTGGTATTTGGCTCTGCTGACTAACGAGTTTGCTGACCACAGTGGTAGGCCAAAGAGGAGCTGCCGAGTGCTTCCTTTCAGGGACAAGGTGTGTGCATGTAGGAGAAAACACAGCACATATAGTGTCCATTACTACTCGTGGTTTCAGGCATCCTCTGGGGGTCTTGACACGTACCCTCCATGGATAAGGGGAACCAGGGTAGCCCTCGAGACGTCCCTCAGGGAGAAAAGGAGCAGTGTGGCCTCCGCCTCAGATAAGAGGGCTGTCTCATGGTCAGTAGCCTGGAAGCAGGGATTTAAAAACTGACTTCTTCTGGAAAATCATTAGCAGCCCATGGGCCTGTGCACGCGCATGTGTGCGCGTGTGCATGTGCTTTGTATGTGCTTGTTTTAGAAGACATGGGAGGGCTGCCCTGCCAGTGTGGCCTAATGGTTGAGAATTAACCCATGAACCAGGAGGTCACGGTTCAATTCCCAGTCAGGGCACATGCCTAGGTCGCAGGTTTGATCCCTGTTAGGGGGCATGCCGGAGGTAGCGCTTAATGATGTTTTTCTCTGGTTGATGTTTCTAATTCTCCATCCCTCTACCTTCCTCTCTTCCTCTCTCAAAAAAAAAAAAAAAAAAAAAATCAGTAGAAGACATGGGGCTATCCCAGAGAGATTGAATATTTTTTCTTCCTATTATGTATCCGGCAAAAAGAGTCATGCTCTAGACAGTTTTGCTCAATGGATAGAGTGTTGGCCTGTGGAATGAAGAGTCCCGGGTTTGATTCCAGTCAAGGGCACGTGCCCAGGTTATAGGTTCGGTCCCCAGTGGGAGATTGCCAGTGGCTGCCAATCAATCATTCTCTTTCATTATTGATATTTCTGTCTCTCTCTGCCTCTCCCTTCCTCTCTGAAATAAATAAAAATAGATTTAAAAAAAATTAAAAGAAATCAGTAGAGACATGATTTCTCTTTCCCCATGTTGAGATGTGGACAAGGCCTGGGGCAACCTCGCTGGTGTGTAGCTGGTGAGGCTCCTGCTCTGCACCCTCAGCTCGGGCTCCAGGAAGCCGAGACCCAGTGCAGCCTGGGACCCTGGGGCCTGGTGGTGGGACCACAAGCCTGGCAGAAGCCTTTTTACTGCCCCTCCATGGCTGGCGTTATTGGCACACGCCCTCTCTGTCCACTTGCAGCATTTCCCACACAGACCCAGGTTGATCTCCTCTTCTGGGAACTTTGATCTTCGTGGGCGAGAAAGTGTGACCATGCTCAGGGAGGGAGGCGGAGGACCAGCAGCTCCTCTCCTCAAACAACACACCTTCGGATTTTGACGCTAGAGAGGAAGAGACATGCTCATACCCTAACCTCTGAGAGTCGCCCCTAGAGCGTGAACAAACACACTGTATCTCCCTTTTACAGTTCCATTTCTTCGGCCTCCTCATCAAAGGCCACCTGCTGGTGACAGGTTCCCAGAACCAGCAGGACTCTCAGTCACTGCCGTCCTCCCGCCAGCCAGCTCAGGTCCTGTTGCTCTGGGGAAAGTGCCATGAGGAGCCAGTGGGGAGGGTGGGGGGGAAAGGAGAGGTAGGGGGACGAGTCTGGGTTAGCTAACGTTCAGGATGCAGGTCCACATAAGAACCAGGGCATTATGGGACTCAACCCACTTCCACCACACCATGGCCCCGCTTGGCATGTTTAAAAATATCCTGGCGTGGCAAACACTGCTAACATAAGGTATAAACCTACAGACTTGGCACTAAGGTGGCCCTTAGTGCCAAGCCTGATGGGCAGTACCCTCCCCCACAGGGTCATGGCCAATCCCAGGCCCCAGGAGACACTGTGGCTCCCTGAATGAGATGGAGGCTAGACTCAGATAGCAGAGTACAACCTGAGACACTGCCTCTGCCAGCCCTCCCGAGGCTGTGGTATTCTCCACGTGTCTGACAGCTTTGCAGGCCCACAGTCCGCTCAGGCCTCACCCACTTCATCCAGGTGGCCACCCACCCTGGGGGCCAACATCCAAGCAGGCCTGACCCGAGCCCCTCAGTGTGCCTCGGCCCTCAGGGCTGGGGCAGGGGCAGTGGGGGCGGGTGGGAGGGTGCCCTGCACTGGCTGTGGCCCCTACCTAGCTCCTTGGACGGCTTCTGGATGCCGATCGGGGGGTCACCTTTCTGGTGTAAGCTGCCCATGCTCTGGCTCCTCTGCAGTTCAGCCCCCTCGCTGGTCCCCTTGGGGTGCCCGGTGGCCACCCCCAGAGGAGGAGCCCCAGCGCCTGGCCGGTGCCTCCTGTACATGGTGGTGGCTTCCTTCTCCATCCTTCTCCTCCCTTCAGGTCTCAGGAAAGAAGAGGGACCCGGCCTCAGGTGGAGGGCATGGCCTCCAACCTCTTCCGAGGCGAGCAGCCCAAATGTGCCCAGTGGGCCCCCGTTGCTAAGTGTCCCCTGTGACATCATGCAAGGTCAGAGGTCAGAGGTCATTCAGAGCAACCCTTCCCTCAGAATGCTGGGTTCCCTTCCTTCCAGGCCTTCCTGGCTTGTCCTCCAGAAAAGCAGAGGAAGAGGGGCCAGAGGGCCTGAGGGGGCAGAGGGGGCACAGAACAAAGCTGGGCAGGACGAAGGACTCAGAAGTGGTGGGTCTGTGGGCATCTCAGGGATGGGGAGGAGGTGTTTTCTCCGAATCCTGTGTGACGAGAGATGCCCAGGGCTGCCTGGGGTGGGCAGGCTTGAGCTGCACTGACCAAGAAACCCCACTTAACTCTGCGTCTCAGCCCGAGGCTGCTGGCACTGGCATCACAAAGCACCACGGTCTGCGCGCCTTAACCATTTTCCTTCTGGATTGGAAGCCTCTCTCCTTGGCGTGCAGATGGCTGTCCTGTCCTCCCATGGCCATCCCTCTGAGCACGTCTGCGTGTCTGTGTCCTGATCTCCTCTTCTCACAAGGACCCCAGTCACATGAGATTTCACATAATGATTTCACATAACCCTAACACCTCTCATTCATTCATTCAAAAACCAATTTTATTTATTTTTAAATGTATTTTTTATTGATTTCACAGAGGAAGGAAAAGGGGAGAGATAGAAACATCAATGATGAGAGGGAATCATTGATCGGTTGTCTCTGGCACACACCACACAAGGGATGGAGCCCATAACCTGGGCATGTGCCCTGGCTGGAAATCACACCATGACCTCCTGGTTTTTAGAATGACAACCACTGAGCTATGCCGGCCAGACTTTAACTGCCTCTTTAAAGACCCAACCTCCAAATACAGTCACAAGTCTGAGGCACTGGGGGTCAGGGCATGGCCACTTGATTTTTGAGGGGACACAATGAGCCCGTAACAGAGCCTAACAGAACATTTCTGATACCCTAACCCCGTGGTCAGCAAACTGCGGCTCAAGTGCCACATGCGGCTCTTTGGCCCCTTGAGTGTGGCTCTTCCACAAAAAAACACGGCATGGTCGAGTCTATTTTGAAGAAGTGGCGTTAGAAGTTTAAGTTTAAAAAATTTGGCTCTCAAAAAAAATTTCAATCATTGTACTGTTGATATTTAGCTCTGTTGACTAATGAGTTTGCCGACCACTGTCCTAACGGAGCACACGGTTTTCCTTCCTCCAATCGTCCAAGATCTTGGGGACAACCAGCCGGCTGCACTTGGGGTGCCATGACTATTCAGAATGAAGCAGAAGTGGCTCCCTAATTCTCCCTGCACGCTGTCTCCTCCAACAAATTGTAATATCTTAGCTCATGGGAGGCCTCGGTCAGCAAGCCAAGTGCCGGTGCAGGGGTAGATGTGGTGCCCACCTACCCGAGACCTTCCTCAGCGGCACCTGACCTTGGAGGCCACTGATGAGTCACGGCAGTGGGCGCTGAGGGGCAGCTTGTGCCTTCAGGCAACAGGTTTTCTGGAGAAAGAACAGGTGAAAACAGAGCCAACTGTGACCTGCCACTGGGGTCCAGGGAGAGGGCCATCTGTTCCCGTCCCCCAGCGTTCCCCCTTTCATCCCTCCCACATCCTCCCATGGGGCAGAACTTAGCTCTCCTGGCTCTCTCTGCTGGGCCTGGGCCTGTAGGGAACTGAAGTCACTCTGGACCCTGGATACTCCCCTGTGGTCCTGCTGGATGCTTACATCTGGGCTGACCAGTGTCCACCATCTCTCACCTCCTGGGCAGGCGCTCCCCCTCTCCCCCGTGGCACCCCTGCAGCCCCCACCAGCCCTTGCCCAGAGCAGACGGGAGGGGGGCTGGAAAGAAGCAGCAACAACCGGGCCCTCCCCAAGTCCTTGCCCCCACTGTCACCCTAAGTCCCGCAACTGCAGCATCCCCAGAAACAGCTGATTCTTCTCAGAACAGCTGACCCAGGCTGGAATTTAAAAAACTATCGAATGAAAACCAAATGGAGAAAAGAAAGGAGTCAGGAAATGAGAATGTGCATTCTTCTCCCCAGAGATGGGTGGCATCCTAGGGGCCCCGTCATGCATCTAGCTCAGCCCTCCCCCCCTCCAGGAGGGACACCACCTCTGCTCGGTGGCATGGAGGCCTGGAGCCTCCTGCTGCTCCTCTCCCGGGAGGCGGGTTGGCTGGTCCTGGAGCTGGCAGCTGCTAGGTGTCAGAGAGAAACACCTCCTCCATCCACACTGAAGGGTCCTAGCGGGACACCTTCCGACGGCCCTCAGAGTGCCAGCCCCATACCTTTCCATCCCAGAGCATCATGGCTCCCAGCTCATCCAAAGCCCCACCCTGGACCTCACCTGTGATCACAGGTGTGTCATCTATTTTCCCACCTGCCCACTCCTCCCTGCCTCTCCCACGTGTGCAGTTACCGGGGGCACTCCTGGGAAACCAAGCCAGTCCTCAGCAAGAATAAAAGGTCTGTTTTAATTGGAAGGTAAAATACTTCACAAATCATTAGTATCTTATAAACGGAAACATTCAGTTACAAATCCATGTTAAAAATCGCAGTTCGGTGCAGCCAAAGTTTGCTTTTTTTTTTTTTTTTTGCAAGGTTTTTCTCCCCCCCTTTTTTTGCAAGAAGTTGTGTTCTTATCTGGCATCAGATGGAGCTTGAAGGACAGAACTTGCAAACGGAACGGAGATGGCATGAGGGCACGTGGTCCTGTGTGTTTGAACAGTGCTTTCCAAAGCCGCCGCCTGCCGCTGTGAGGACTGTCTGGGAAAAGTCAACAAGCAGCTCCCTGGCTTCCAAACCTACACCCTCCAATGGAAAGCTGACGCCACTGCTGTTTCTACTGGCTTCTCAGAAACATCCTGCAATACCACCTTCGGGGCCCAGGGGGCGTCTGCACAGACCAGTGCCTCCCATCTCAAGTTCAGGATTTCTCCCTTTGCTGGGTTTCCTGTGGAGGACCTGTAACTAGCTTCCCATTCCCTTCTTGGCTTTGCTATGGCACCCTTCCCTCCAATGAGTCCAGGTTTGGATGATCCGGGTTATTTCATATCAAAGAGCGAATTAAAAACGTTAAGAAAATCAGTTTGAAAATAACGCACGTTTCTATTTTTTTTAAAATATTCCCCAAACTTCTACGTTTAAGCCCCACGGACAGCACAACAACACAACTGGTGCTTAAGGTGGGGCCTGGCGGACGCAGCTCCGCTGCTCAGCAGCCTGGGGGTGTCTGCAGGCTGTGGGCTGTGGGCTGTCTCGGCTGTCTCAGCTGACAGCCGAGAGGGACTGCGAACTCCAGGAGAGAAGTCTGGAGCCCCTCCCCCAGGAACTCTCTGCAGAAGAACCCTGTATCCCCAAAATATCAAAAGCATCCTCAAATTGGGATCTCCGTGCAGTTCTGCACATCCTGACCACAAAACTGACCCTCTAGCTGGGGGCATCGCCAACATCGAAAGCTGAAACCAGGAGCCGCCTGCCACGGCGCTGGGACAGCAGGCTCACAGGAGAAGAATAATGCTTGAACCTCCGGCTGCGGGGAGGCGGGCTCCTGGCAGGCACCGCAGAGGCCAGCCAGGCAGCAGGCACAAGGCGTCCCGCACCCGGTCCAGAAAGGCCAGCTCAGGGCACTGCCCCGCAGCGTGAATGAAGTGCGTGGCGAGCACGCCAACAGCCCCGGAGAGGCTTGGGGGTCCCGTGAGCTTGGCGCTTGTCTTCTACGCGAGCAAGGAGTGTGTGGATCCCTTTACTTCCTCTTCCTTCTTGTCTGCGGCCTCCCTCCTTTGCAAAGACGGTGGGGTTCCCGGTGCAGCTCACAGCGCCCTCCTGGGGCAGGGCGTCCTCCAGGCTTTAAATGGAATGGGTGGAGACCTCGGACTGCTGCCGGATGTAGCTTTGAAAACTCTTATCTCCGATGGGGTGTTCCCTGCAAAGGGGAGATGGGGGAGAGGAGAACCTGAGGCACAGCCCTCCGTTGCCCTTGCTCATCTGCACTGTTTAAGAATCTCTTTTCTTGCCGAAACCGGTCTGGCTCAGTGGTAGAGTGTCAGTCTGCGGACTGAAAGGTCCCCAGGTTCGATTCCGGTCAAGCACATGTACCTTGGTTGTGGGCACATTCCCCAGTAGGGAGTGTGCAAGAGGCAGCTGGTTGATGTTTCTCTCTCATCGACCTTTCTAGCTCTCTATCTCTCTCCCTTCCTCCTCTTTGTAAAATATCAATAAAATATATTAAAAAGAAGAAGAAGAAGAAGAAGAAGAAGAAGAAGAAGAAGAAGAAGAAGAAGAAGAAGAAGAAGAAGAAGAAGAAGAAGAAGAAGAAGAAGAAGAAGAAGAAGAAGAAGAAGAAGAAGAATTTCTTTTCTTGCCAGGACCGGTTTGGCTCAGTGGATGAAAGGTCCCAGGTTCGATTCCGGTCAAGGATATGTACCTTGGTTGAGAGCACATCCCCAGTAGAGATTGTGCAAGAGGCAGCTGATTGATGTTTCTCTCTCATCGATGTTTCTAACTCTCTATCCCTTTCTCTTCCTCTCTCTGAAAAAATCAATAAAATATAGTGTTTTTTTTTTTTTTTTTTTTTTTTTTAAGTCTCTTTTCTAGCCCTAGCTGGTTTGGTTTATTGGATAGAGCGTCAGCCTGCAGACTGAAGGATCTCAGGTTCAATTCCGGTCAAAAGCAGGTAGGTACCTCAGTTAAAGGCTCCTCCCCATCCTGGGCCCTGATGTGTTTCTCTCACACCCATATTTCTTTCTGTCTTTCTCTCTCTTCCAACTCTCTCTAAAAATCAATGGAAAAATATTCTCGGATGAGGATTAAAAAATAAAATAAAATAAGACTTCTTTTTTCCTATTTATATACGTAATGTGCATTCTTTGTAATTAATATGAAAAATATAGAGAAGCAAAAGAAGACTTA